GAATCGAGCACAACGTTCTAGCCACTAGGACAGCAGCGTTCAGGTCCACCAGGCCTTCCACAAGGGCAGTGGTCCCTTCCTCGACCTGTCCCGCAGTATCGGCGACTACCACGGCCTGTCCGCCCGGACAGATCCGTACAGCGGAACTGATTCTAGCGCGGTAGGACTCTTCTACTCGAGAAGACCCAATGGGGAACGCTTCTCCAGTCCCTTTGAGTGTCTCCACATTGTCTTCTAAGTCAATAACCGCCTTGAATGCTCTGAGAACGTCGGTACCCAGGATCGCATCCACGTGTAATTGGTCGACGACCACGAACGGGATCGTCTTCTCTAGCGAGCCTAGGCGTCGCTGCAAGTCGATGACGCCTCGAGTCTTCAGGGAGTGTCCGGAGACGGCGTTCAGGCTTTGGGTGAAACCCCTGAGTGGCTCGGTCGACCTTCCTATCCATTCCAGGATTCGGGAGGGAACCAAGCACGCTACAGCACCGGAGTCTATGAGCAATTCAGCGGGAACACAGTCGACGAATCCCGTAGATAGGGCCTCGACTCCTTGAACAGAGGCGATGACTCGCTTGCCTTCCAGAATAGTTCAGCATATGTCCACTCTTCTCGGGGCAGATCCGTCAACCCGAGCTCGTCCGATTCAGAATCTCTCCACCGTTCAGGGCCAGCGATCAGATTCACGTAACCGAGCACTCCGTCTCCCTCCTCAGTAGAGCAGTCAGCTCCCATTGCTTCAGAACGTAGGGCGCTAAGGGAAGAGCAGTCGAAACCGACTTGCGTCTTGTTGGCAGGACGCCCGATCCAATCGAAATGCTCCCTTCATTTCCGGCATGGCGAGCTCCTTTCAGTGATCTTTAAGCGCATTTCGTCAGCCCCTTGCTCATAAGCTTCCCGTATACCTTCAAGTATCCCTTCTCTCAATCCAGGTTCCTTGGGGTCGACTAAGTGGTCCACTACTCGGCAGGCCCTCGTCCTCAGATTTTGCTCTCTTCGTGGTACGGTTTCTCCATCCGAGAGCACTTCGATTGGCGGTTTGGCCGTTTGGCACTGGTGCCAAAGCGAACCGTTCTGTATTTCTTCCAGGCGGACGAGCAGATAAACGACCCTGCGAATTAGTCCACGCCACTCAGCGGGTAACTTTCCACGGTCGACCGGTCTTCCACCTGGCGGACTTACCGATCCCACTACAGGAGGCGTTCAGATAGCTCCACACCAACATTTTCTTGTACTACGAATTCGTCGACGTCGACGCTCCCGTCCGGAGGCTTGGGATTCTCTGGTGGAGGGCGTGACCTTACGGAGAACACTCCTCCTGGTTCCTCCAACTCTCCCTTGTCGTCCACAGAGTCTGTTCGAGCGGGGACGTTGTTTTCCCGCTCGACTTCAAGCACGGCCTCCTCATTCGAGGTTGACCTAAAGCCACGGTTCGCACGTTTAGCAGCTTCAGTCGTGGCTAGCGTTTTTCGATACCACTCTAGCCAATATTCAGGACAGGAAAGCTCTCTGGGAGCAGCCTCGCAGGTTCTAGCTAACACGTCTTCAGGGATGTCTAGTATCTTATAAAGCTCGCCCAACGACACAGACTTTTGCCTTTCAGCATTCTTCTTCACACGTTCTTTGAGTGCAACTTCGTCGAGACCGATGAGGCGGTCTTCGAGCTCCTTGTCGTATTCTTCGTTGTCTTCAGAAACCCCTGTTGTTCTTCTAGCTTCGAGGTCGTCGAGTTCTCCTGCCATGAACAGGCGGGCATAGTACGGTTCGCGCTGCTCGCGGGGTTTTCCTCTACCACTCTGGCCTTCCTCCTG